CAAATCTACAAGATACTGCAAAACCTCAACAACAAAAAGACAAATAACCCAATTAAAAAATGGGCAAAGGATATGAACAGGCACTTCGCCAAAGAAGATATTCAGGCAGCTAAAAGACAGTTCAAATCCACCAGCCGCTCCTTGGAAATCCTATGGGGCAGTTCTACTCTCTCCTATAGAGTTGCTATGAGTCGTAATTGACTCCACAGCAACAGGTTTGGGTTTTTAGGCAAGTGAGGGCATAAATATTATTTGGAAAGCTCAGGTAGAGACTTAGAAAAATTCTTAGACTAGAGCAGCACTTCAACTATCAGCTAGTTTAATCCTCCTTCTAAGGAGGATTTTGCCCAGAGAGGTCAGGGACTTGTCTAAGGTGAAGGTGGGTTGTGAAGAGCTGAGCTGAGAACCTTGGTCTCCCAACTCCAGATGAAAGAAGCCGGGGGACTAAAATCCAGAGGTAATGATGTGTTTTAAAAAACAGTGTTAAAACAGTATTTATAGCTATGGAAAGATATTTTAAAGTAGACAGTAGCTCATCGTAGGGGCAAGATTTCCTTTAATGTAAAATACAAATAAAGGAGGATAGCTTGCAACAAAAGAATCTTCTTTTTACAAAAAGATGTCTTTTTGACTGTATTTTTTATTAAATACTAGAAGTAATCCATGATCACTGTTAAAAATTTTTAAAAAAGTGTATAAAATAACAAGGGTTTCCCCAGTTAACGGTACAGTGTATATGCTTCCTGGGGGACAAAGAGTTTCCTTATTTTTTAAAATTTTAATTCAAAAAATTTTGGATAGATAATATATTCCGGTGGCTCAAAATTCAAAAGGGTCAAAAAAGTATACAATTCAAAACTATCCCCACTCCCCTGCCCTACAGTCACCCTGCTCCCCTCCTTCCAGGCTACAATCTTATCGGTTTCCTATGCTAACTTCCAAAGACACTTTAAACATATACAAGCAAATATATGAAAACTTAATTATTTTTTGTCTCTTTTACACAAAAGGCAGCACGCTGTCCTCGATCTTGTTTATTCCCTTACTCCCACATCAGTGCACAGCGTTTCCTCACTATTCACAGCTGCAGAGCATCCATCATACGGAAATAACATTGTCTACGTAGCCGGACTCCACTGGTGGGCATTTAGGCTGTCTGTACTCGCACCACTCAGTGAATAACACTGCACATACATTGTTCTGTGTGTGTGCAGTCACAGTTTGAGAACAAATTCTCAGAAGTGAGACTGCTGGTGAAAGATTTTGTGCTTTTGTAGGTTTAACGGGTATTGCCAAATCGCCCTCTACAGAAGTTGCCAGTTAACACTCTAAGAGCAACAGAGGAGAGTGCCTGCTTCTCAATAGTCTTGCAACCACTGTGTTATCAAATGTCCTAATCTTTGCCCATATGAGGAGCGAGACACAGTATCTCAGGGTAGTTTTCTCTGTGAGTCTTTTATTAGGAGTATAGCTGAGCATCTTCTCATATATCCTAGGACTATGTATATTTCTTTTTCTGTGAATTGTGTATTCATATATTTTGTCCATCTTTGTACTGGATTTTTTTCATCAGTTTCTAAGAATTCTTTATACGTAAAAGAAATCAGCCTTTTGTACTCTGAGCTGTTTCCCAGTTTACAATTTGTCTTCTGACTTTGCCTGTGGTGGTTGTTCCAAGCAGAATTTTTTTTTTTTAATAATTAAGTTTTATCAGTCTTTACTTTTATGGCTGTGTGTTATAATTAGAAAGGTTTTCCCATTCCAAAATTAAAAAGAACATCTCCAAAAATTTTTTTCTAATCCTTTCATGATTTCCTTTTTTTTAAAATCTAGATATTTAATCTATCTGGTATTCATTAAAACAATTCTTTCAAGTGGCAAGTTCCCTAACATGTTTGAGTGCATTACCTCACAGACTTCAGGTCCTGAGAAAGAGGCAAAGGCTGAGTGTCTAAACAGCGTGACAGAATCGCATACCACACTAACAGAATTCAAAGGAACATGAGATGCCAACTCTTCCTCTTACCACTTGTGAGTGACGAGGGAAAAAACTGTGTGAATAATTTATTTTAACATTCATTCCTACTCTTCTTTAATCTTTATGAAAAAAATTACAAATGGGAGAAAATGACATGTGCCTACCTTGTTCATTGTTCTCTGCTGGGGAGTCCTCATGTCGGAGGAAAAACTTCACCTCTTCCCTTCGTGGTCCCCACTTCTGAAGATGTTCATACATCATGTGATCAAAGGGTATGGGACGTTCTAGAAAAAAACAACAGGTCTCATTTACCTCAGAAACAAGATACTCTTACGAAAAGTAAAAAATAAAAAATTAAATAAGCACACATATATATGTACGTATTAGAATTCAAGGATATTGCAAGCACTAAATTTTAACTTTAATGAAATAAAACCAGGCTTATAAACAGGAAATAATTAAGGCAATATATAAATACAAGAAGTATACCTGAAAGCAATTTTTGCAACATTAAATACAACACAAACTTTAAAAAAATGCCCTTTATATATGAATAGGCACTTCACCAAAGAAGACATTCAGGGGGTGAACAGACACATGAAGAAATGCTCATGATCATTAGCCATTAGAAAAATGCAAATCAAAACTGCAATGAGATACCATCTCACTCCAACAAGGTTGGCACTAATCCAAAAAACACATAATAATAAATGTTGGAGAGGCTGGAAAAACTGGAACATTTATACACTGTTGGTGGGAATGTAAAATGGTACAATCACTTTGGAAATCAATTGGTGCTTCCTTAAAAAGCTAGAATAGAAATACCATAATCCAGAAATCCCACTCCTTGGAATATATTTTAGAGAAATAAGAGCCGTCACACAAATAGATATATGCACACCTATGTTCACTGCAGCACTGTTCATGATAGCAAAAAGATGGAGACAACCTAGGTGCCCATCAATGGACAAATGGATAAATTATGGTATATTCACACAGTGGAATACTATGCCACGATAAAGAACAATGATGAATCCATGAAACATAACATGGAGGAATCTGGAAGGTGTTACGCTGAGTGAATTTAGTCAGTCACAAAAGGACAAATATTGTAAAAGACCACTATTATAAGAACTCAAGAAAAGGTTTAAATACAGAAGAAAACATTCTTTGATGGTTACGAGGGTAGCGAGAGAGGGAAAGGGTTATTCACTAACAGGATAGTAGGCAAGAATTATCTTAGGTGAAGGGAAGAACAACACACACTACAGGGGAAGTCAGCACAACCGGACTAAACCAAAGCTAAGAAGTTTCCTGAATACAACCAAACACTTCGAGGGACAGAGTAGCAGGTGTAGGGGTCTGGGGAGCATGCTTTCAGGGGACATCTAGGTCAACTGGTGTAATAAAGTTTATTAAGAAAATGTTCTGCAACCTACTTTGGTGAATGGCATCTGGGGTCTTAAAAGCTAGCAGCCATCTAAGATGCATCAGTTGGTCCCAAACCACCTGGAGTAAAGGAAAATGAAGAAAACCAAAGACACAAGGAAAGTATCAGCCCAAGAGACAGAAAGGGCCACATAAACCAGAGACTGCATCATCCTGAGAGCAGAAGAACTAGATGGTGCCCGGCTACCACCAATGACCGCCTTGACAGCAAACACAACAGAGAGTCCCTGATGGAGCAGGAGGAAAGTAGGGTGCAGAACTCAAATTCTTGTAAAAAGACTGAGACTGGAGGAACCCCAGAAAGCATGGCCCCCGGACTCTTTGTCAACCCAGAACTAAAACAATTCCTGAGGCTAACTCTTCCGACAAACATTAGACTGGACTATGGGACATAAAATGATACTTGTAAAGAGTCTGCTTCTTAGCTCAAGTAGATACATGCGACTAAATGGGCAGTTCCTGTCCAGAGGTGAGATAAGACGGCAGAGAGGGTCAGGAGCTGGTTACATGGACACAGGAAAACAGGGGTGGAAAGGAGGAGTGTGTTGTCACAGCATAGGGAGAGCAATTAGGGTCACATAACAATGTATGTATAACGTTTTGTATGAGACACTAACTTGAATTGTAAACTTTCACTTAAAGTACAACAACAAAAAAGAAAGTAAAATAAAATGCCCTTTACAATGTTCATCATTATGAAGCAGCGTGCCTCTCCATTCTTCAAAGAAACACAGGACAGACTGGCTGAGCCGTGGGACACACCAGAATGTTACCCGTGGCCATCAGGTGTACAAAGGCTGGACACAGTTCTTCCTGGCAACTCACGTAACATTACTGTGAATCTTTGTCACTAAAAACTAACGAATTAATAATAATAATTATTTTCTACAGAATTAAAATATACTTTTTCCATTTTTTTAAAAATTAAAACTCATTGAGAGGCTGACCTCAATTGTAAACTTTCACTTAAACTACAACAATTAAAAAAAAAAACAACTCTTAAATCTAAAGAGAAAAAAAAACTCACTAACAATACCTCTTTACCAATTACTTGCAATAGTTAAATTTAGAAGTTATCACTTTTATAAATTCATTATACATTCCATCTTCCATCTCTGTGAATTTCCTCTTCAGGTACTATGCTCATTTTTTTTTTTTTTTTTAAATCTGATTGTTTGACTTTTTCTAAGCTATTTGAAGGAGTTCTTCAGATTCTGGATACTAATCACAGGTTAGTCATATATATTGAAAATAGGCTTGCTTTTTTCATTTTGTTGGTATCTTATGTTGTATTAAAGTTTTAGAAACTTAAATGTAATAAGCAGTTATCAATCTTTTCCAATTTCAGCTTGAGTTTTTGTACAAAAAAAACCTTTCCTACTCCAGAGCCAAGAAGATAGTCTGTTTTTTTCTAAAACTTTAAAGTACTGCTTTTCATTGTCTTTGTGGCATTTGTTTTTGTGTATGACATAAAAATCTAATTTTATTTTCCTACTTGAATAATCAGTTGTCCCAGCATCATTTATTGAACAGTCTGTCCTTCCCTCATGGACATGTGATTGCCGCTCTGACACGTGTCAGGATTTCATACACGCGTAGGATTTTTCTGTCTCTTCTATTCTAATGGCTACTGATCTATCAGTGTGCCAATATCACATTGTCTTAATTATAGTCATTTTATAGTAAGTCTAACTACCTGGTAGGTCAAATCCTCCCACTTGGCTTATCTTCAAAACTGTCTTCTCAGCACTTTGCTTCCTCACGTATATATTGAGAGGCAGCTTGTCAAGTTTTTTAAAAGGTACACCTCTGACTGAAATCCTATTTATAAATAAATTGATACAGAAGCTTCCGATCCAAAAACATGGTTACGTCTCTCCATTCCCTCAGACACCTGCGTTCTTCAATGACGCTGTTAAAAGTTTCACCAGAGAGGTCTCGCAAATCTGTTAATTTATTCCTCTGCACCTTATAGATTTTTTGTTGTTTACATGTACATTATCTTTTTCAAAAATAACTTTTATTTTGTAATAATTTTAGATTTACAGAAACTTTGCCAAGATAGTTCAGCTTCCATTACATCCCTCACCAATTGGCCCTAACGTAACATCCTACACAGCTGTGGCACTTTGTCAAAACTAAGAAATTAACGCTGGCACATGTTACTACTAACTAAATTCCAGGCTTTCTGTGGATTTCACCATTTTTTCACTAATTTCCTTTTTCCGTTCCAGGATCCAATCCAGAAAACCACACTACATTTAATTGTCACGTCCCCCTAGTATCCAGTCTTTAACTGAGTCTCAGACTTTCCTTGTTGTTGATGACCTTGACAGTTTTGAGGTGGTCTCCTCAGGTATTTTGTAGAATGTTCCTCAGTTTGGGTTTGTCTGGTGTTTTTCTAATGGTTAGACTAGGGTTATGGGTTCTGTGAGGAAGACCAAGAGGCTAAGGCTGTCAGAACAAAATACCACAAAGGACGTGGCTGTAAAGAATAGAAATTTACTTTCTCATGGTTATGCAGGCTAGAAGTCCAAATTCAGGGCATCAGCCAAATTGATTCCTTCTGAGGGCTTTGAGAGAGGAACTATTCCATGCCTAAGTTTTTGGTGGCTGCTGGCAATCTTTGGCGTCCCTCTGCTGTGTATAGATGCATCTGCCTCCATCATCACATGGCATCTGTCTTCCCCATGGATGTGACCTGTCTCTGTGTCTGTCCTTCTCGTTTATAAAACACCACTCAGAAGGGATTAGGATCCAATCTACTCTGGTATGACTTTGTTAACTGCTAACATCTGCAAAGAAAAACCTTACTTTTTCAGACAAGGTTGCATTCACTGGTACAAAGGTTAGGACTTCAACATATCTTTTGTTGTTGTTGTTGTCAGATGCCATGGAGTCGATTCTGACTCACAGCAACCCTCTGTACAACAGAATGAAACACTGCCCGGTCCTGCGCCATCCTCACAATTGCTGCTGTGTTTGAGCCCATTGTTGCAGCCATTATGTCAATCCCCCTGGTCAAGGGTCTTCCTCTTTTTCGCTGACCCTCTACTTTACCAAGCATGATGTCCTTCTCCAGGGACTGGTCCCTCCTGATAAAGTGTCCAAAGTACATGAGATGAAGTTTTGCCATCCTTCCTTCCAAGGAGCATTCTGGCTGTACTTCTTTCAAGACAGATTTGTTCATTCTTCTGGAAGTCCATGGTATATTCAATATTCTTCACCATTTTAGGGGGCACAGTGTGATCCGTAACAGAGGTGAAGTGCCCTTCTAATGACGTCAGAGCAGGGTGTACATGCTATCAATGTGACTCATCACGGGTGATGCTAACCTTCATCACTTGGTTGAGGCAGTGTTTGCCAGGTTTCTCCTCCAAGAAGTTACTAGTTTTCCCTGTTCATATTTTATTTTTTTGGAAGCAAGGCACTAAGCCCAGCAGAACTAGGGGGTCGGGTGGTGGGGTGGGGTGGTGAGGGTTCTACCGTAAGGAAGATGTGTCCCTTCTTTCATTTATTCATTTAATCATTTATATCAGTAGGGACTCATGGTTATTTACTTTATACTTAGGGTTATAATCCAATATTACGTTATTTATTTTGCTACTCAAATTGTCCAAGCTTGAGTCACTGGAAGCTCTTTTAGGTTAGCTCCTGTGTCCCTTTGACATGGCCTCAATGTTTGTTTTTTTTTAAGAGTACTTTCTTACCTTCTGGCATGACAAGATACTCCAGGCTCATCTTGTATTTTCTATAGTTTTTATTGCTATTAAAAACAGGATTCTTTTATAATTTGTGATTACTGGTACACACCTACACAGGAACACTACCGATA